ACTTTGCTAACCTGCCATGGTCTTTGCTTTAACAAATTTAAGGAATAACATCTTGCTTCATTTAGTGGTTTTTGATCAACGGAAGCAAATTCTGCCATTTTCAACCTGTGAAGCTAAATAATTGGACCTGTACATTGTAGCTTTTGATCAAGTAACATCAAGGGAAATGCCCTTTTCTTTTCGGCTATTCAAAGATACTCGTAAAAATCATGTACTGTCAAATCCCTTCTTCTCTACAACCTGATATCTCAGAAATTTATGATAGATATAAAGTAGGTGCATTTTTTAATGGTGTGATACAGACTTGAGATCTGAGTGCCTCCCACTAATATTGGTGAGTGCATGTGAATTTTGAGACCTTTTTTTAATTCTTTTGATACTTCTTTCAGACCCTTCAAGGTCTCCGAAGTGTGCTCATTACAAATAGATAATTGATAGACTATGGACATGGAGACATGTCAATATCAATGCAGATATATAGAGGGCAGATAACTAAATATTTTTAATAAAAATTCATACATGAGTTCGCTTATGTTGACAAAATATCACTGAACACAACATTATTATATGAAAAAGAGTTCCGGGAAAACAGATAATCTAAGAGCTGTTTGATAGAAAACTCCTCACCTAATACTTAACTACATTAAATTGAACACAAAACATCATTGAAATAAATACAAGCCTCTAGTCTTATAGACTTGTACAAAAAAGGAGATCCATGATAATAGACAATCTAAAGGCTATACTTAAAATCACATGCTTTATTATTTCATCACAGTGATTGTATTTATTAACTTCAGTAATTTTAGTAGTTACTTCCACATTCATGTCTCAATTATTGCAAAAGTTATAATGAACTTTCACGGATGCCAAATGAAAAATATAATTCCTTACCTCATTGTGTTAAATGCCTTTGAAATCCTGAACCATAAATCAAAACTAATAAAAAGCATCCTAATTAAAGATATCCACTACATGTTTTTCTAAGATAACAGACTTTCTGGGTGTAGACTTGAGATTATAGTTTTTTTTTTTTTTTTTGAATACATAGCGCGAGGTTGCACCAAAGGTTGATGGTCCTTGTGGCATAGTATCTCCATCTACTGCATCCTCTTTCAGCTCAGTCTGAAAATTTTCCCAAAAAAAAAAGTATTGACTTTATTCAATGCAACATTGTTAAAAGTAAGCACAGTGTGGGGCCTTTTACAATTGCAAGCTGCAGCATATTTATTCTTAACTGGTTAGACTTCAATGTCCATTCTTCTTTGTTCCACGTTTATATGTCGAAAGCTAAGAGTTAAGGTTGTTTTACCCCTAACAATTTCTTTACTTCCCTATTTAGAACTTAGCATGACAAGTTTGTGCAAGCTGGAGGGATAAGTCTAAATATTAAATCAAACTTATTGATAGAATAAATAAATTCCCAGGTATACACGGAGTTCGAATGAGTGTGCAAGTTAAATGCATAAAAAAAAAAATCATCTATCTTGATGATAAGTCCCCTTGTATAGACCAAACAAATATCTAAGCAATATAAGCAATGAAAAAATCAAGATGCATAAGGTATCACAACAATTGTGATTTCCCGTGATGGTTTGTTTTTCAAAGCTTCTCTTTTTAAGATCAGAATATAGATTATTTTTGAGCTAATAAAAGAGGCGGGACATTAAGTTTGTTTGGCAAAGCTTACCTTTTAGGATCATAATATAGGCTAGTTTTTAGCTAAAATTACATGCCCCACGAAGGAGATGCAAAGTTCTGTTCAGTCAGGTTTTGATGCACTCCTAATGAAGTTTTTTTTTTTTTTTTGAATAAATACTGGGAAAACTTCATTCAACCGAAAGAAACAAGGACAAAAGGTCCGAACGAGAACAAGAAGCCAAATAAAGAAAACAGAGACTAGAGACCACACAAAACTATCAATAGGTAGTTGGTCAAAAAGATAAAAATCAAAAGAAAGCCTATGAGCAAGATTGGATAGATGATCTGCCATGCCATTCTCCTCTCTATGCACAAAATATAAATTAACATCCCACTTTCTACACAAGAGTCTCCTAGTCGCCTCAATGATATCCTTAAAAGGATGAAGACTATAGTTTTCCCTTGCAATCAACAATAGAGCATGCACACAATCACAAAATAAAAAACCTCCATAGACCTAAATCTTTTTTACTAACAAATCTCAAAACCATTAAAAATATGATAAATCTCAGCAATTGTGGCTGGAACATATCCCAGCTTGTAGCTAAAGCCCTCGATCCAAAGTCCACTTGCAGATCTTATGAGTCCACCTCAAGCACTCCAACCATTCCTTAAGGTGGACCCATCAGTCTCTAACATAATGACCCTATCATGCGGATAGTTCCTGCCCCTATTTTCTTCCGACCTATGTAGACTAGTAAGCATATTAGATAGCTTGAAATTAGCAACAACCTTGAAAAAGAAAGAAAAAGGCTCTTTAGGAGCCTCCTCAACAATTTCATTAAATAGGACTTTGCATCTACTTTTTCAAATAACCCAGCAAGTATGCGCAAAAAGAAAGCTCTAAGGAATACAGTTTGTCCTAGATAAGTCAACTTGGTGTTTCATATTTCAATTTAGCCAATCACACTTGTCTAATTGCAAAAATTTCTCAATAAAGCTAGGACACACAAACGCAATCCACCATTTCCTAGCATGTTTGCAATCTCGAAGCAAGTGCATAGTATTCTCCACTGCTTAACATCCGACGGGACATAAGCCAGTGACATTGAGACCTCTACTTAACTAAAAACAGTTGAATGGATTCTGTCATGCACAATCTTCCAAAAGAAAGTTTTCATCTTCTCCAGGATGTTCCATCTCCAGATCTTACAGCATATAGGATCCCAATCATTTGTCGTACCTATAAGAAGAAAAGAATAACTAGATTTAACAGAAAAGGCTCTGCTAGGGGAATAAAGCCAAAGGTGTTTGTCCTCTCCTCTCTCCTCACTGGGGGCTTTTATGTTGATAATCTAGGGCTTTTATGTTGATAATCTAGTCCACAACATGCCTAGGTAGCCAAGGGCTCATCTTATAGACATCCTAAACTCCTGGGTGAAGAACTTAATCGCTCACTTTCTCATTTATATCAAAAAACTCCCTTCCATGTTCCACAAAATTAATAAGGGATTCCTTATTTAGCGTCCACCTCTCGAACTAAAACGAAGTTTGATTACCGAAGACAGTCTTCTTTCCCAAACCCTATTGAAAAGAGTTCCAGACTTTGTAAATACTCCTCTAGGTGATGGAGTCGCCCATTCTTTATTGGATCATGTGTTTTAATGATTACGAAATCAAGAAAAGAGGTATTTGTTATGTGTACAAATATAAAAAATCATGGATGAAGACAAAACCTCGAAAGCATGAAGAATCAAGAGAAAATGAAGAAGTTTAGGATAAGTAATTTAAATTCTCTTAAATTCAATATGAAAACTTAAAGAGTTTAATCACTTTTCTTAATCATTAAATGAATGCATCATATGTTTCTTTGATATATATATATATATATATATATTAAGATTCATCTGAGTATGTTAAAGCTTACAAACTTTAGCCCTCTTACATATGATTTTTCATAAGAAAAGTTTGCATAGTGAAGAAGCAGAATCATGCACAATCCTATAAGTCACTCACGAGTTTTTACATGTTAGACACACTAATTGCTAGATCACGTGAGTGTGAAGAAGTGCTTCACACGTGATTAAGCACTTGTATTATATATTACCTTATGCTTTGTCTCTACATGCAAAACCACACGTGAAAGACTTCAGTATTCATGCAAGTTTTAGCACCTATACTTTATTGTATTGAAACTAAGCGTAAAACCACGTGTGATTTGTCACTTGCTAAACAATCACACATTGTTTTCTTAAGTCTTAAAACCTCTCAAGTCAAGCCAAAAATTATTCACATGTATGATCATTGATCTACAAATTCATATCTCTTGATCATGCAAAATATTACTTGAAATGTGTTGAGTTCCACACATGAATATACATCAGACAAGTTTATATATCAATACTTGCAATTTCACATGCCATATATTTCTAGGTTCACGCGAGTTTTGATCATATTGAATGGCCTTAGCATTCTACCAACCATTTCATGCGTAAGGGAGTAAGGATTCCAATCGTGATTTGTCACACTGAAATGATAATAGTTCTTGATGTGCAAAACCATAAGTGAAAGCACGTGGTACACTCATAAGTTTTAACATATAGAAATGAATGATTATTCATGAGTGTTAAATCACACGAGAGAGTAATGAGGTACCATGCGTGATTAAGCACACAAAATTAAATGATTATTCATGAGTGCTAAACCATGCGAGAGAGTAAGGAGGTACCACGCATAATTAAACACACAGAACTGAATGATCCTTTAGAAGTGCAAACCCACGTATGAGAGGATGAGGTGTTCACACGTGATCTGTCATATTCAATTTTGTGAAACTTCCTTAGTGCACAAACACGCGTGATTATATCAGTCACTCACAAGAAAATGCACCAATGAATAAAATCGCTGTTCCAACGGTCTATCAACTTTTAAAAACTATATAAGTGATTCATTTTGAACTAAAAAATAAACTAATAATCTTTGAGTAAACATATTATTATTTGTGCATTTAAAGAGCTTATAAATTGTGATTTTTATTGATTGCATTCATTCATTATTCTTAAAAAGTATTGTGAAAAACTCTCAAAAGTTTATAAGCTTTTATTTGTATGCTCATCTACTCTTTAAGAGAGTTTTCTGTAAAAAAAATTTTGTTATCATCTCAAAAATCTTGAAAAGAATTTTTCAAGTGTTAGAACGTCTTGCTAGATTGTAGCAAAGTGTGATAAGTAAATCAAGATAAAATTAGTCTTGAGATTTGTACTATGGTGGCAAGCACCCATTGAAACTTGTGATTTTAGTTGAAGTTTTCAAGTATGATCTTGAGAATTGGATGTAGCAAGTTTGTAGCTGAATTAATATAAATCTCTATGTGTCATCTTTTTCTCTCACTCTTTAACTCTTTACTCCTTTCAAGTTTTCAAAAATTTTTAGTGTTACCCAATTCACTCCCTTCTTACATGCCAACCTATTCTAATTCTCTCTTAACAATCTTTGGCATACTTCCCTCACCACATTTATATTTAGATCTAAGCACTTGGACCCATAAAGCATCAGGATTATTGATCAACCCCTTACAGAGCTTCCAAATAAAAGACTTATTTTGATACTTTTGGTTCCTGATTCCCAAACCACCATGATCCTTGTGCTTTTGAAGGACTTTCCAAGCCAACAGATGCACCTTTCTAAAGTGTCCATCATTTCCCCGCAGGAACTCACGACTGCCTTTCCCTAAATCATTCAAAATACCATTCGGAAGAAGGATAGTCTGCATGTAGAAGAGGCATTAAAATGTACTGCTGAGTGAAAGAAAGCTGCAACGGAAATTAAGCTTATATATGATCACCTATGCTGAAAGGTATTGTAGTAAGAAATCTGAAAAGCTTATACATTAGTAGATAGGTGCGTTTGAGTGCGACATGAATAGATGATTAGACATCAATAAATGAAAAGAAGTCCTCAAAGAGCTCAATGTGGCAACAGGAAAAATGCTTTTACAGAAGGGAGAAAAAAAGCAGTAGAATACAAAATGCTTTTACTTCATCGATGACAGCCTGCAGCTGCATTATAATTGGCAAGACCTCCAAATGTTTGACCGACAAGTACATGAGTTTACCTAGTAAGCAGAAATCGATCAAATATAATTAAGAAAGAAGCAAAAGAGAAAAAAACTAAAGTGACTTTTCAACTTTACCTGAAGAAAAATAGGTGAGTAGCTAAATTGCTTAATCTTTGAACTGGAGGCCAGCAGGACAAAAACAACCCTTAGTGCGCTATCATTTGAATCAGTACAATCAGATTGGCTATAGCAAAATATTGATAAGGGGCCCCAATCCACTTAATTTCCAAATTCAAGTAGTGGATCAACTACCAGGATAAAAATCAACAATTATTTGACTGGGAAAATTAATTGAGAATCTAGAAGATTCATTCTAAAACATAAAAGAATTACTTTTAAAGTTAGACACGTAAAAGGCACGCACCAATTCATTTGCTCGAGTTTTATTGTTTTATTACAAGGGTCTAGGTAATTTTTTATGCGGCACTTCTAAGTTCATTTATTGATATCACTGGCTATGTTCCTTGATTTAACCATAGTATGGTTTCAAAAATTATTTAGTTTTTACCAACACAGATTCATTAGTTACAGTATGGTATAATTTCAATCAAATTTTATTGTTACTCACTAATTTTTCCTTGGACTACTAGTTGGCAACGCTTTTAAAGATTCAAAAGCTTAACTTGATGCATTGCCATGTGGTTTCAGATATTATTGAGTTGTCATCATTCTAAAATTTTAAATTTTGACCAACATAAATTGAAATTATATCTTCATGTGTTTTACCAAGCAATTAACATGAAAGAAAGAAGAAGACTTTGAAGGAGAAATAGAGAAAAGAACTGATATCTAGATAATGGCGAGAGGTAGGGCCCCTCCTCCCCTGCCAAAATTAAAGTAAAACAATAAATATACTTGCTGTCAAGATATTTACATGCCAAATCAACATGAAAGTAAAATGAAGAAGTCCACATGTCACAAAGAATAAAATCTTCTCATTATTAATTAGATGAGACTTCCTTTACAAAGATTGTACAGTTTGAGAATTAGATATACCATCTATTCTAAGATTTTCACAATGATTTAATCCTCAGAATTAGATATACTTCAGACTTTTCTTCATCACTTTGTATACTCAAAACTTTTGTACCTCCTCACTTCCACCACTGCAAAGTTCCATGCATCATCTGCTGAATATACTCCAACAAAATGGCCATTCTGATTTCAAAATGGTTTGCAACTTTCAATGCTTAATCAATCTCTTTCTAAAAATAGCCATAGTTATTACTTTTAGCAGTATAAGTTTCTGCCATCTTCCTGCAACGTTCATTGCCAAGTACTATATTGATATTGACTGGAACAGAAAGAGGCAACCAAAAAAAAAAAAAAAAAAAACAAACAAACACATACACACACAAAAACCGAGAGAGAGGATGTACAAATGTGTTCAGCAAATGTTCTTCCCATCGTTATGCCAAGTTCCGTTCACTCTCTTCTTCTGTGAGGCAAAGAAAATTTCGGATTTGATTTTGTTGCTTAGATTAAAGCATATACTCATTAAAGCTCCATTCTGCCATTGATCTTCCAGCTCGGTTCATCTTTACCTCTCACTGTCATGAACAAAGCTCATTGGCCATTGTATTAAATGTAAGACACAATATTGGGCACTATCTTAGACTGGTTAAAGAAATAAATCGTTATACCTCTTAGCCCGGTACATGAAAGTAATGAACTGATGATGGCACTGCAAGTAAAGTGCGAGGTAAAGTGCAATCAGGGGCGGCTCGGTATGGAGGCGACGCTTCTAGCGTTGGCGCTCAACGCCTGCTTCTTCGGCTGAGCAGAACACAATGACACGATTTTGGGAGAGGTGGAATGGGAAAGGAGGTTCCCAAGGACAATGGATAGAATAGGAGGTGATGGCCAGCGAGAGTAGGGCATAACTTAAAAAAAAAAAAAAAAAAAATGAGCGGAGCAGTTCCTAAAGCACAACGCAGAGGAAAGTACATGCTCCTCGCATCCCCATCTCTTTTAATCACCACCTCCACCACCCACCCCATCCCTTTTTCCTCTACACCATAGCATCGATGTTTCCTCTTTGAAATTGACTGACCCGATTTGCAAAAGGAGCAATAGAAATTTAGAGCTTTTATGTGTAAAACAAATTTTGGGAATCAAAGTGGATAGAGATTCAGGCCTTTGGTTGTACACATATCACAAAGATGTTTCAGGGTTTCATCAAACCTTTCTGGAAATCGTTTCAATTGGAAATAAACATGTCGACAAGGACGCAAGCATGATGATGCTGAGATCGAGAATCCGAGCGTGATAAAGCTTGGAGAACAGCAAGATCAAAAACGCACAATGAATCTTGGAGAATGACGAGATCAAGATTGAGGACCACGCACGATTAGGCAGCTTCACGCTGGCAATAGAGAACGGGGAGAAGATGAGCTTCGACGGAAAAAAAAATAGCGGGCTTTTTATCTAGAAAGTGTGCGGAGCTTTTTTGTGTATACAAAAATTGATAACAGACGATTCAAATAGGCGATATTAAATTTTTTCAGCCATAAAAGAGACAACACCTGTAAATAGGAAAATAGGAAGCATCTTCTTTTTCCCCTTCCACTTCCAATGAGGAAAACAAATACATCTTATCTTGCTATGGGTGAGGCTAATATGTGCCGATTAAAAAGAAGCTTAACAAAGCTTCCATGGCTGCCTCCACAAACACTCATGGACCTGTGAGGTGTCAAAGAAGACAGGTCCAAACCTGCACTTTGTGTGTCTAGCTTAGCTTGCCACGTGTATATTGGGTCAAAACAAATGGTATGTGTGTCAATGGATAGGATGACATTGCGCTCATTTTGAAAGCTGGAGGGCAATAAAAAATTCTGGGATAAATTTATCTTTTAACCTTTTATATTATGCGATCGATGTATGACAATTATATATATATATATATATATATTAAACATATAGGATCATTTGTTACAATTTTCTTTCCATTGAGAAGATAGTAGCTAAAAAAGATTTGCAAAGTTATGTGAAGTCTTCTTGGTCTCAAGTCGTACTTCTAGATTTTGGCTAAAAAAATATGGTACTTTTAGACAATGACGAACCACAACTAATAAATAGGAAAGCTAAATTGAAAAAAAATATAAAGTGGGGGTCAAAATCTAAGTTAGTATTTTTATAAGTAAACATTTTTATTTTTTTAAAAAGAATAGTGAAGTTTCTTGCTCATCTATAGGTGACAGTAATTTAAAACAAGTTTGATGGACTTACTCAAATGAGTTTAAAAAATTTTACGATCAAGTTTTGAAGTTTAGAAATTTTTTTATTTCATATTTATTTGAGCCACTCGAGTAAATTTGAACCCCAATGAATTTAGTTCGAATAACTGAATTTGCACTCCTAAATCAAGTTTTAATTAATAATTGTTTGATTTAAATTTTTCAAAATATTTTAAAAAATAAATACAAGAGTTTAATTCATATGCTTTTATTTCTACTCTTTCAATGCTTAGCCTCACTTTAATAAGGTTAAGGAAAAAAATGCGTTGTAGTGTCAAGTTTCTTGAATTAAATATAAGCCTTTATTGACCAAATAAGAACTTATTTGTTTAAGATTAAAAAACAAATTATTTTTATATAGTTCATGGACCATTTGTTTCAACTTATTATTTTATAAAAAAATCACTTTTTTTTAAAAAAATTATCTTTTGAGTTTAAAGGTCCACTTATTTCAGCTTAATTTATTAAAAAAAGATCACTTAAAAAATATATTCCTTGAGTTTTTATGATATTATTTAAATTTTTAAAAATAATCAAAATGAAAAAGTAAATCTTTGATTATTTTAAGAAACTACTTTGAATAACTTTTAAAAATAATCCGATACAGTACATGAGAGAAAGTACTTTAAAGAGGTGCGATATATGAAGATATTATAAAATTTTAAATTAATAGAATAATAAGTCATTTTTATAAATAAAAAATTAAGAAAGATATCATAAAATTTAAATATAACTAATCAATAATAATCATCATCATCATCATTATAACTGAATATAAAATAACTTTTATTTTTATAAAATAAATCTTTTTTTATAAAATTTTTAAACTATTTAAAATTTACTTATTTTTAATTTTAAATAAACTGGCCAATGACATTTGTTTAAACTTTTAAAATACTCAAAATATAAAAAAAAATTAGATTTCTAACTATTTTAAAAATATACTTTTTCTTTAATCTTACCCTAGTAAGTCTCGAGATTTAACTCACATAAAATTTTTAATTATTAAAAAAAGCTACTTTTTTGAATCAAATTAAAAATATACTTTGATTGGCTGTTGAAAATAATTTAGTGAAAGAAAATGTTTCAAAAAAGAGCAATCCATAAAAATATCATAAAATTCTAACATAAGTAAATAATAAATTATTTTTATAAAAAAATTAAGGAAGATATCAAAATTTAAAAATAACTAATTAATATAACTTTTTTATTATTGTAACTAGGTATAAAATAATATTTAATTTTTTATAAAATCTTTATAAAATAAATCTCTTTTTATAAAATCCTTAAATTGCATAAAAATTACTTATTTTAAAATAATTTAATCTTAAACGAAGCAAGCTCTAGATATTTTAAAAAAAGAGATTTACTCTGTAGATATTTTATAAAAAATGATATTATTTTGCATTTAGTTATAATAATAAAAAAATATTTATTTAATTTTTTTAAAATTTTATAATATCTTCCTTATCTTTTTTTATAAAAATAATTTATAAAACATTATGAATAAAATTACTTTTTTGTAATAACAATATTTTATTATTTAATTATTTTAAAATTTTATAATATCTCTATATATCCCAAAATATCACTTATTTTTTCGGAAAAAATTACTTTGTAAATTTTTATAATATTTATTTATTTTTTAAAAATAACAAAATTTAGAATAAATAAATTTTTAATTATTTTAAGAAATTACTTTTATAAGCTTATGATGAAAGAGATTAATTTAAAATTACAAGATACACAATCATAAATCACATCATATAATTTAAAATAATTATTTTTATAAAATAGAAATATTAAAAGATATAGTAAAATTCTAAAATAACTAATTAATTATCATTTTTTATTATAATATATAAAATATATGTCAGCCTTTTTTAAGATCTTTATCCCTTCTTTTGCTGGTACAAAAAAACAAAAAATAAAAAATAATACTATAAAAACTCACACATATCATTTATATTCCCTCGCCACCCTCTTCCTCACAAAATCCCTTCACCGTCCCACTCTTAGTACCTCTCTTGCCCACCGGCGGCGGCCCTCTCTCCATCTCGTTTGGCGAAACGAGTTCGACGGCAACCCTCCCTCTCACATAAGAAGTCAAATTCTCGTTTCGCAGAGAGGTTAGGTAACACTGGTTGTTGAGAAATATTGGCGGTGATTCCGGAACGCAAAAGCAAGAGTAGAGCTGCTTCGGCTGCAACGTGGTTTTAGGGGCAAACTGGGTTTTTCCGAAGGTTAGCTTGAAACGTACACTAAATTTTTATACCTTTGCTGACAGATTCTTAAGAGAAAAGATAATAAAATCTCTTTAAAATATATAAATAATAATTTAATCTTTTAAAATATTATAATTAATTTTTTAAAATTTTTTTATTATTTATAAATTTATATAAATTATTAAATTATTTTTACTGAAAATAAATAGTTCACATATTTTGTTTAAATATTTATAATTTTTTTTATATTCATAATAATTCAACAGAAAATAAAGAATTAATATGTACAATTATAATTTTTTATTGTATTATTATAATATAAAAAAATTATGAATATTTAAATAAAAATTATGAATTATTTATTTTTAACAAAAGTAAGTTGATAATTTATATAAATTTATTAATAACAAAAAAGTTTCTAGGTTTCAGAGAAATTATGACATTTTAAAGGATTAAATTACCATTTATACATTTTAAAGAAATTTTATTATCATTTTCAATACCTTGTTTCCGTATTTTTTAATGAAAATTTTACTTTTTAAAAAAAAATTATTTTATGAGCTTTTATGATATTTATTTAAAATCAAGAAAAAAACAGGAATCTAATCATTTGCTTAGACAAAACAATATTAGCTTCAACGTACTTAACTGCCCCTTTGTTCATTAAAACAAAATTAATTAGCACGTTATGTTTAAAATTACAAAATAAATAATTGGGAGAATGACAATTAAGGACCTACTAAGAACATTAATCCCAATTACGGACCGTGAAATTTTAAAATCCGAGTTAAGGACCATGGTCCTTAATTGTGATAAAAAAAATTTGTGAGGTGGGATTCATTATTGCCACTTGAGAATTCACTAATCCAACTTGAGAAAATTTGTAACGTATATTGTGAAAACATGAAACCCCATTTGGAAATGGAATGTTTAAAAAAGCGCCATTTGAAAATTCACTAACTAGACTTGGAAAATTTCTAACGTATATTGTGAAAAAATAAAACCCCACTTGAGATCATTAATAAAAAGTGACTTATCTAAATTAGTGTTTTTTATTAAACAATCGATTCCCAAGTGAAGTTTCATGTTTTCACAATATACGTTAGAAATTTTTTCAAATCTAGTTAGTGAATTCTCAAGTGGCGCTTTTTTAAACATTTCATTTTCAAGTAGGGTTTCATGTTTTCACAATATACGTTACAAATTTTTTTAAGTTGGGTTAGTGAATTCCCAAGTGGTAATAATGAATCCCACCTCACAAATTTCATTTTTTTTTATCACAATTAAGGACCATAGTCCTTAACTCGGATTTCAAAATTTTACGGTCCGTAATTGGGATTAATGTTCTTAGCAGGTCCTTAATTGTCATTCTTCCTAAATAATTCTTAGATAATTTGTGAACATTATAAAAAGTGGTAAACATTTTATAAAAAGCTAACATTATTTTATTGTTTTAACAATAATAAAAAATTATTATTAGTTAATTTTTTATATTTTATAAAAATAATTTACTATTTAATTATTTTAAAATTTTATGGTATCTTATTATATCTCTTTTTTGAAAAACATTCTCTTTTATTTTCAAAAGTTTTAACAAAACTTAAAAAACAAATTTTTTTTTGTGATTATAATCTAAAGTGATATATAAAAGAAAATGTTTTAAAAAAATAGGACATACACATGGGTAATATATAATTTTAAAATAATTAAATAATAAATTATTTTTACATGATAAATTAAATTAATAATTACTTTTTTATTATTGTAACCAAACATAAAATAATTAATGTTAAAAATGGTTAAATATATTTTAAAATTAAACCTTAAAATAATTAAAGTAGTATTTGGATTAATAAATTTAGATTTAAATTTTAAATTTAAAATCTTGCATTTCAAATATTTCATTTAAAATTTATATATTCACTATCCTTTATTTGGGTAGTTTAAAAAAATTCAAATAAAATAAATTAATGATTTGAGTTTCAAAAAGAAAATGAAAAATCAGAAATGATATGTTTATCTATATTTTTCAATTAATCAAATACAAAAAAAGATACAAGAATCATTGTTAAAAACACGAAGAGGTATAAGAGGATTTGAAATTTACAAAAGAAAAATAAATGTAATAGAGATGGCAAATCCAAATCCATACAATTTTGTTTATTCAAATGAGTGATTTGATCTAAATTCAAATCCTCATTAATCTAAATACATCATAAAGTAATTTTTTA